GGATACTTTAATAATAAAGCTGAAACCAAATTGATCACGGATGCGAGTCCAGTAGGACTTGGAGCAGTTCTCGTTCAGGAAATCGAGGGAGAAAATAGAGTGATATGTTATATTAGCAAAAGTTTAACAGATGTTGAGAGACGCTACTCACAAACTGAGAAAGAAGCCTTAGCAATCGTGTGGGCATGCGAGCGCCTTCACATGTATCTGTATGGAACTAATTTTACATTGTTGACAGACCATATGCCCCTGGAGTGTATATATTCAACCAAGTCTACAGGTAGAGCAAGTGCAAGGATTCATCGATGGGTTCTAAGACTTCAGTCATATAAGTTCAAAGTAAAGTATATCGCTGGGAAGGACAACATAGCGGACAGTCTATCACGCCTTCTTTGTATAAAGCTAGATAACTTGCAGAGTCAGCCTACCGACGAAAGCGAGAAGTACATTAGATTTGTAGCTTTGAACGCAACTCCAAACGCTCTTACAACCAAAGAAATTGAGAGAGCTTCAGCGGTTGATGAGGAGATTTCTGAGATTATAGAGTGTATTTTGAATAATCAATGGCATAAACTGTCAAATAAGAAATTGTTAGCTATCTAGGATGAACTTACAAGTATTGGAATGTTAGTGTTACGAGGAACATGAATCCTAATTCCGCAAAGCCTTTGAGGAAAAATTTTAGAATTAGCACATGAAGGACATCCTGGCATAGTATCTATGAAAAGAAACTTGCGAACAAAAGTGAGGTGGCCTAGCGTAGATAAAGATGCAGAAAAATTCTGTAAAACATTTCACTCATGCCAGATTGTAGGTAATCCAGAAAAGCCTGAGCCAATAAAACCAACATATATTCCAACTGCACCTTGGCAACATATTTCTGCAGACCTGATGTTGTTGCCAACAGGAGATTACTTGTTTGTAGTTGTAGTGAACTATTACAGTCGTTACTTTGAAGTGGATACACTTAGGTTGACAACAGCAGATAAAATTGTAAAATGTTTCTAACACATGGAATACCAATAAGCATAAAGACAGATAATGGACCACAATTTATCAGTGCAGTATTCAAAGCCATAGAAGAGTGACACCTCTCTGGCCCCAAGCAAACGGTGAAGTGGAAAGACAAAATCGCACACTTCTCAAACGCAATATATAAATGTATATACAAATAAGTATATAAAAATAAATATATAAATAAATGTATAATAAATATATGCATATATATAAAGGAATATACAAATATATATATCTGTCTCTTATACACATCTAGATGTGTATAAGAGACAGGTCGATGTGTCTCCGATGATTAACAACAATGCTGTGGGAAACAATGGCTGGATCTCAGTAGAGATACGAAAATGATAAGTAACAGCTAAAAAGTAAACGTAAGTAAACAGCCAGAAATAGAACCAGAGCTATATATATATATATATATATATAAATATATCTATGTATATATCTGTATTTTAAACAAAATCTATCAGCGCTGCATACTTTCGGATCGACGATTTGAAAAAGTTAAAAAAAAGTCCAGAAGTGTATTATGCACTGCGCATTACTGGACTACACATGCAAAGCTCCCCGGTGTGTTGTTTATTTGCATCTAATAGGCCAAAGAATATAGGCTAGGCCTACATGTTTGCAAAACTGGATAACCTGGAAAAAGAAAGATTTAAAATGTATGGCTCGCATTGCTCGCTGGCTCGCATGATTCGCGCATGACTCACTGGCTCGCACTTTGGCACTACTCTAATATAATTACCGTAGTATTATATAGCAACTAGATTTCCTTAGCTGTCCTGGAACAGTATAGCTTTTTTATCATGTTTAGCCTACATTTGCTACAGGTCTACATTTATTTATTTATTTTTAAAGAGTATAACAAAAATACATATCTGGTAGAAAGGTGAATTAAATGTACTTCAGTAATTAAATAATACGCTACTGATACTCTACCCAGGGAAATAAAGAGGTTGATTACCCCATACAGTACTGGTCACAAAAACTTTATAGCCATGTTAAGATCATCATGATGATCGCGTTTATCTGCTGATATAGGTGATAAGTGGCTGTTGTGTTAGTTACGTGAATTTAAAATGGCTGCCTTCTTAAAATGGATACAAAATGGTTTCAGAAAATCCAAAAAGAATTCTTGGGTAGTAAATAAACCAGCCACAAAAAACTAACCTTTGAACATTTGTAAAGTTAATTCTCCGAGAAATGGTCGATATGTCGATACGCCATCTTTGTTTTCATATGCATTCTAAACCAACTGAGATCGTTCAAATTAAAAAAAAAAACCACGTCTATATTCCCGTCTAAGTGATTTGTGATTGGTCAATTGAATTGCACTTTGACACGAATAATTTCGCCTATGCCAAAATATAAACAAGATGCCAAACGCCTGTTTGTAGGGTTTTGGAATAGTCTAGTTTGTTCTCTTTCCAACAAGAATAAATATATAAAAACGTTTAATAAGTGGGTAAAGTTTATAAATACGAGGAAGAATTATGAAGCTATGCACAAGTTATGCAGTAGCAACTTTTTATATAATGGTATTTTATTCAAAATTCAAAATTTATAAAATGCATAAAACATGTCAGCCAACAAGGCTGAATTACGAATTATGTTTCATCAAAATAGGAAATTGACATTAAGATTTACATAAAATTGTTCAGATAAAAAACAAGAGATAACTACAGAATTATAAATAATTACCATAGCAATCATTTGTTTTTTTTATAATTATATAATTATAAATGATTGGTACAGTAATTATTATAATTATACTTATTAAATGAAAGAATTACGAATTACGCTCAACATCAAAAACATCAAAAAGCATGAAACAAATCAAATATAAAAAAATCTTGCAAAATACATACATTAAAATAACAGAAAAAAGGTTTTACAAATTCACACCAAAAAATAAAAGCATTCACAAAAGGGCAGACAAGCAGTAAATGAAACTCCAAAAAGACACAATCAAAGGAAAAGAAAACAAACAAAGAAAGAAAGCACAGGAGGACAGAAAAACATCAGGAAAAAGAAAACAAAAAAAAGGGAGAAAGGGGGAAAATCACTGAACAACTGATTTACCACTAGCACCAAACCCCAGCGGGGGGGAAGAAAGTTACAAATTGATAGAGTTAATTAAGTTAACAAGATAAGGTAATGGACTGTTTTGATATCTTTTAGTTCTGCAATGAGAAATGTTATTAGTATTCGACCTAGTATTATAGGATTTCACCCTTTGGGGAGGGAGCAAGGCGTGAAATTTAGAAAACGGATGAATAATGGTTTTAGCAAAAGAAACACAGAGATTATGTCCTCTATCACAAAGTTTATCCAAGTGAAATTCAAATAATGCATCGTCATAAGATATGAATTTATTACCTAAAATAATTTTATGTGCATTCTTTTGGACCCGCTCAATGCGGGAATCCAATAATTGTGTAAGTCCGCTTTTCCACACAGGAACAGCATATTCCAAAATAGTGCTCACATAGTTGCCAACTTATACGGATTGACCGTGAGACTCGCGGATAATTTATCATTTACCGGTTTTACTACGGATGAACAAAAGCTCACAGATTTTAAGGTGGGTTATTCCATGTCAAAAAAGTTCCAGTATGACCCTCTCAGATTTTGATGACACTCCATATAGGCCATGGGGTGAAAATCCTAACGTTCAGTCCCGTTCCGAAATTTTCATAATACTTTCACTCATTATGATAATTATTATAATAATATTTAAAAGCACCAAAAAAAAGTTCGACCATCAGAACTTCTGCAAATACGAGAAAATGACGTTTAAACTTACGAAATTGAAAGTTCTTTGCGTTCGATTAGCACATGACATTGTGTAAACGTCACTGTACTCGTTCGAATATTGTATTTTTGATACGTAGTTTATTATTTGCGAACTTTGTATTACTGCTTTAAAAACAAATTTAAAAATTATAATTAGATATAGTTTGTATTTTAATTACAGAATAATATTTTTTAGTCTACTATTAAATTGATTTTGTTACAATAACTTCACGTGTCAACAACAGTAAACAATAACATGGCGACTAGCGGCGGACAATGTGCCGGTGTTGTAATAAAGTGTTGTTTTCACCGCGAAGAAATCGCTAAATGAAACTCCAATTCTAGTTACAGCAACCAGATTCTTGAAGATTGTTACTTGTATCAAATTATGGATTGTTGTAGACAGTCATAACCGAACTATAGCTGACAAACTTGTGCCTCTTCTTGGATGAGGGAAAGACATACAGCGAGGATGATGTGATAAGACAACATCCTTACTTTGGCTTCCACCCTGTTTGCTATCGTTGGTACATCGACACGAAATCGATAGCAATGATAAATTACCTTACCCAGACACATTGTACAATATATTTAAAATATTCTTTAAAAAAATGGTGCTGACTGCGCAGGCCCTACCCCACTTAGCTTCGTGAGTGGATTTCCCGTACGATTGAAAATCATAACGGTACTGGGTTTGGTCTACAGGATTTCGTGCTTCGAACAGGTCATTCCATTCATAGAAAAAGCCTTTTGATGGAGAAAGTGTACCTTTTTAGCAAAGGTTTGCCTAGGTCGAAACTAACTCCGGCTATATAAAATTGATTATAAGATTGAAAAATATTAATCTTGTTATTGTAGTAGTGATAGATACTATGTAAGAAAGTATAATACATACTGCAAGTATTGAAATACACGCCATTGTGTTGGGATTAAATATTTCAACATTAATTATGTCATCATCAGGAAACATTAATTATGTCATCATCAGATACTATGTACACGTTTTGTTATTTATTCGTTAATGTCATTATATTTAAATTTAAAATATTGTTTAAGTATGAATTATTTTGTTCATGTAAAAATTAATCTTATCAATTAAAATTGTATATTTTAAATAATATAGTAGGCATAGATTAATGGAGATCATCAAATGCGGTTGTAAGACCGGGTGCAATCAAGGCAGATGTCAGTGCAATTTAAATGAACATGGAATGCTCCGATCTTTGTCAATGTACAAACTGTCAGAACAGAGATGATAAAGACACCATGAATGAAGATGCTCAATTTGCAGACGATGAATACCTAGACGAAATTTACATAGATGATTTGTTTGATTGAGATTTGATGTGCTTCTTATTTCATCATTATTATGTATAATATAGAAAATTTAAAAAAGGTAATGTAACCGTGTGACCCTTGAGAATGTAAGAACTTCAGAACCATGAGACTTAACACACAGTGACACAGGAGTATGTAAAGCATTATCTATTTTTATTTATTATGTATGATGTACAAAAGTTAAAAAAAAATTCTGTATAATGTAACCATGGACCTATTAATAAGAAGGACATAAAACGTAGTATTGCCCTTTGATCAATCATCTTTTCTGACAAGATAAGAGAGGGGTATATTTATCGGAATAAACTATGAAAAGATAAGCTCGGTACCGTTATTTCTTACGTTATCGCCTTTCTGGGCATGCGCATTAGGCTTTCGTTCGGCTGCCTGGTTCTCCGCGATCGAGAGATACACATACACACACACTAAACTGTTGAAAATACCAGGTCCATGAAAATACGAATATAGTATGGACGATTTAGATTTTTGCGTCAACGATGCAGAGATCGATAATAGAAACGCAAAATGCACTATGTATGCAAACAGAAGTCAGAGGATAAAATGATTGCATGTGGTGGTCCAAACTGTACTTGGGCCTAGGCCTAGTAATACGTGGTACCACTACTTCAACTGCATAGGCTTGCTTGACACCAAATGAAATAGCCTTCCTAGCGATGGTCTGGGCTTGTAAACGGTGCGTAGTCGCTGCTTCAGCATGAGCGGGTGACAACAACCTACAGGGGCCTAGCTGAGAGAAACAGACGGGTTCCGTACCGTCTGTTAAAAAAGGTACCCTGTATTTTTTTAAATTTTGCCTAATATGGGCTAAAACATGGACCTGTAGTATTAATAATTTTGTCTTATACACATCTAGATGTGTATAAGTTCAGTTTTCATACCTACTTTTGTGTATGTTATGTTTTTTATTGATGCCTGGAAATTTATTTTCACAAACCTAGATCAATAAATACTGCAGGTAGCCATATTTATATATGTACTGTATTTTTTTGTGTCCTAATTTAAAGGCAGATAAATGTAGGCCTGCCTAGGCTAGGTGTAATCGTGTGATGGGGTCGTAACTTAATTGTATAGTTGAAGTTTTGTTGAATCCAATACAAAAAATACCATGCAGTAGTTAAAATATTTGTATTTCATACCTTTTTTTAAAATTTTAATACAGTAATTTTATATTTATTTTCAGAAAAAAACTGACTGAAAGGCCTGCAAGTGTTTACACCAAAGAGGAAATTGGAGGTGCACTGAAAGCTTTAGTTTGTCACCAATGGATGTAATAATAATATTGTAAATGTACATGCAGATACTGTACAAAATTTTAAAAAACAGTAGCTTAAAATCTAAGATAAAAAGCTTACGAAAAGGAATTGCCCAAGTAAATATGTTGATGTACAGGTATGTGGAAATCTGCATGATGGTGCTGGAATAGTAATCGCTTATGTAAATAAATAATGTAAATAATAAAAATACAATATTATGTTCAGAAATTGAGGTACTAATTGTTGAATATTACATAATTATGTATTCAGAGATGGCAGTAATAGCACAATAAATGAATTTAAAAATATTTATTGAGTCTTTATTTTTCAAAGGCCAGTGTGACATTTATCACATTTAATGCATCGAATCTCTTTTGTTAAAGTGGTGGCTCTGAAAAGAGCCCTTTGGTTTGGAATTGCTGTGCTGTATTAGTGCGTCTTCTTGCAGTTTGGTAGTGGTGCTATCCAGTGAAGTATTGGTTCATTTTTTGCGATTAGAGTTTACTGTCGTGTGTTTAAAAAATGCCTGACACTTGAGTTGGTAGTCCAGCCTCCAGCACTTTGAATACCCAATCACCGGATCTTGACAGAATTTCTCACTTAAGATGTAGAGTATGGTCTTGCTTAACTCAACAAATTTACTGTGGAAAAGCAAAATTATGATTCATTTATTCTATACCATACAATTAAAACATTATCATCAGCAATACAGTTTCATCAATAATGATTTTATTTCCTGAACAACAACATAAAAAGAGAAAAACAAGCAAAATAATAATTATTATAGATACTGTAGGTCTTGAACATATTATTATTAAATGATGAACAAGTCATATTCAACAATAGAAAGAACATGAAACACATTCTGAATAAATACACACAATAAAAATACAGGTTAGATATGTGTGTTGGAGTGTGGACTTATTAACTAACTATCCTAATATTTAAAATACAGGCCTAGGGCATAGCCTACTATTATTACATTCAACATAGAGAAGATAGGGGCCTAGGCCTAGATTACAGATAGGCCGGCCTAGCCTAGGCCCTAGGAAGCCTATGAACGTCACGATAACCAGGCAGATGCGCATTTCTACGATCGACATATCACGATATCATCAGAGAACCACCATCACCTAAAATCACTATAAAAATTTTGTAAAGAACTGTATTGATAAAACAACCTTGTTTCAATGAAGTTTTGTAATTTATCTAACTGTTGTTCGTATGTGTTTTGTGGAGAAGTCGGGAGAAACGGTTAAAAAATGCATTTAAATGGCACCAAATTCTAATTTTTTTCTAGAAAAATCGATCACAAACAAACTAAAATAATCTTACCTTCGAATCTCAGTAACTTTTCAACAAAAAGTCTTATTCAAATTCGGTTTTTTGGTACTTGTAGCTACGAAAAATCTTCGATCCACCGCACACAAAAACCTAACACTAAAGGTCACCTAATATGTCAAATTCATTCTCAAATGGACCCAAACTAATGACGTCAGTAAAATTTGTTGCTCCACTCGTTCGATATTCACCGATAGAGGGTGTCCTATAGGCAGAAAAGATGAGTTAATTCAAAGGCGCTCGAGAGAGCGGGCTGTGATAAGAAAACGCTTTGAAGTTTCCAAATACCGCTTATCGCTGATTGGCTGAAGGCTAATTAGTTACGCTAGCTGGAAATCGTTGTATGTCCTTATTAATAGGTCCATGATGTAACGGTGTAACCCTTGAGAACTTTAGAACCATGAGAATAATCACACAATGACAAAGGACTGCGAAACGCTTCACTGTATTTATTAAGTATTATATATAAAATTTAAAAAGTAACGGACTCACTAGAGCGCAAGAAGCTTTTATTAAGATGTATAACATGTGTACATAAGTATAGAGTTATATATTGTATAAGCAAGCACTGAGGAAGGGAGGAGAAGCTCTCAGGATATTTGAGAAATAAATATGATTTTTCATATTACAGTATTAAATTTAAATTTCTATTTAATAAAATGTGTCCCAACATGTGTCAACCGGAGTATACAAACAAATATACATCCATGCACATCATAACAATGCATCAAGTTTAAATTTCCCCACATTTAATCTTTTATTACAATTTGAAAGTAAAATAAATACAATAATTTTAAAAAAGGAATATTAATGTAAAAATACTGTGAGAATGAAGTGTGTACTTTAGTACACATAGAGGGAACATGCAGACACATTGTCAAAAGGAAGACCACAGGAGTCAAAAGAAGTCAAAATACTAATACATTTTCTTTAAATTGTTACACAATTATTGTTTTGAAAAGAATATCAAAGAATTGCAATTATAATAATAAAATAAGTTTTTTTTGTTGAAATTTCTCATTAATAATTATGCTGTAAGTTGACGCGAATTGACATGTACTGACGCAATCTGACATTACTTGACACGATTTGACCTAAAATGACGCGATTTCATGCGAGTTGATGCAAGTGGACACTCATGGTATGATCGCGACGTGCTTCTACACCGCTGTATCGCGGTGTGTATTCCGACGACCAGAAGCCTAGGAATGTATTTAAAGCGGTAATTTTCTTAAAATTGCATTTTTTGGTCGAACTTTCTATATTTGATTCAAGACGTATTACTTAACTATTGTAGGCCTAAATTTTTTATATTGAAAAGATCGGAACGGAATTCGTTTTGTAGACGTCTTTTGAGCTTCACCCCATGGCCTAATAAAAATGATCCACTATGTGAAAAACCAATACTTAAAAAAAATTAGTGTTATATGTTTTGTAGTTTCTGAGATATTGACTCCTCAAAAAAGGGGCGTGTTTCTTCAAGATGCACAAACGCAATTTCCTCCAACTTTGGAAGCTTATAACTCGGGATTAGTAATAGCTATCAAGGTCAAACTTGGTATTCTAACTTATATTCCACCGTATTGCACCAGATTAACTGTTATCCATTCTCTTTTAAAGTTATCTGCACTCAAAATAGCCACTTTGTTTAACATGATTTTCGATGTCACCCTGTGTCCATATGAGTGAGTGTATACATCTTACTGTATATTACAGATATATTATCTATGTGTAGTTGTCTCTAGTACTTTATATATATATACAGTAATAAACTTAACTAAACTTGTTTGTTTGTCCAGGCAGGTTTTTGTCCCATTTTTAAACCATTGCTTTTCCAAATTGGTACATGCTAGCACTTTTCTGATTGCAGATTTGGAATCAGCAGTAAAAGATGTTCCACACCACAAAATCTGAAGGTGTTGTACTTCCGAAGATATTAGCATACAAAAATCAAAGTTAATTTCATGGTGCACTATTTTGTGCCACGCCGCCGCTACGGGAAAACAAACAGGAATTGGAGTCTAAAAATTTCAGGTTTTTCAATTCATATGAATAACTGTCAGTATAAAAAAATTTAAAAATCTATGATCCCATGGCATGGAATGACCCAACTCTTAAAAACTTTTGTTATTTCCAATTATGTTAAAATATGTGTAGTTTTAAACATAGTATTTAACTATGAGGGAGCTGAGTACCAAAGCTGAAATTTGTGGTATAAGTAGACCTAATGTATCTGATTAACTGGTGTAAATTTAAGAAAAGATTTTAACTGTCCACATGACTAACATAGGCTTTTTTCACTTTTTTAGGGCTGGTCCCAACTTTGAGTGGATGCCATTCCATTTTAATTCATTTGATCAGCCTGTGCTTGCTTGTGGCTAGAGACAACTACCCATAGATAATATATCTGTAATATAAGATGTATACTTACTTACTTTACTTTACTGCCGGTCCACCAGATAGTCGGATGACTTTCCCGCCTCGGCTGCTTTGCTTACTGTATGTCTAGGATTACTTTTCTCCAGTCATGTCTGCTTTCTGCGATTCTTCGTATTGTTTCTACATCTTTTAAATTATTGATCCTGAGTGGTAGCGCAGATGGTAATTGTTTGTGAAGGGTGATCAGGTCGTTTGATAGAGTAACTGGTAGTGTGGTTCGTGATCGTCCTCTATATTTCTGATGCTTAGAGTTCTCGAAATAGTAGTTTATTGCCTTATTAGCTGGGACTTCCCTTTGCAATCTAAGAATGTGACCGAAAATTCTCCATCTAGATTCAAGAATGTCTGATGAGATTGGTCTCACCTTGCACCGATCTTATAATTTTGGTTTTTCTCCTTCTCCATTCTTCTTTTTCATCTCTTTTTATAATAGTGTACTCTGTTTTTTCTTTGACTTTGAGATTAATATTTGACATATGTTGTTCAATGTCATATATGTTGTTTCTTTTCTCTAAATTCACAAAAACCATGTCGTTGGCGAATGCAAGTTCTATTGGAAAGTCCACTTCTCGTTCCAATCGAAGATACTTAAGTGCGTGTTCCAGATACACTATAAATATTATAGGGCTTAGACTATCGCCTTGCGGTGTTCCGATGTTTGATTCTAGTGAGAATATCTCTAATGCACCTTTTATACATACGTTAAGTCCCGTCTGGCTAAGTAGAAATCTGACTATGCGGTGTTCATCTTCGTCTATGATTTCCTTTAGAATCTCTAAAAGTTTGTCTCTGTGGATAGTATCGAAAGCGCTTGAAAAGTCGATGCCTGTATTTCCATCTTGTATTTAAATGCCTTTGCTATGAACCATTTAAGAAACACGTCACTAGTACTTCTACCTTTGCTAAATCCACTTTGGCTGATATGTAGGTAGTTGTCGATTTTGTCCCTAATTCTATTCATGATAGTTATTGAGAGACATTTCCTTATTGTGTTTAACAATATATGGTCTTAAATTTTTGATTGGTCCCTTTTCTTTACCTGGTTTATGTAGTACAATTAGTGTTCCATTATTTATATTTAGGTGTTTATGCTCTCTAAATACATTATTAAATATGTCCGCAATAACGGGCAAGTATGTCCGCGCCGTATTTAAGAAGTTCTGCTATCATGTCTGTTATTGTTTAGTTGTTTTAAACTTTGTTTAATCTCCTCTTCTTTGATTTCATTTTTAAGAGGTCTAGCATTTCCTTCAAATGGATTAACGTTCATTTTTTTCATGGAATTTACGTTTGAAGTGTTCACCTATTGCTTCATTTATTTTATCTATGTTCGCGATCCATTTTCCGTTGAGATCAAGAATCCTAGGATTTTCATATGGTTTCCAATTCAACTCTCGAACTGCTTGAAACATACAAGCACTCTCATTAGTTTGATTGATTCTAGAACTTATTTCATTGAGTTCCTGGTTTCTAACTTGCTTTTTAATTTTGTGTAGCGCATTATTTCTTTCCTTTTTTAAAACTATTT